CCGCCTTGGTCACCCGTCTGTGCAGCGCCTTCGGGCCATGCACAAACGGGACCTTGTTGCTGGTCTTCCCAGGGTTCTCCCTCCCCTCCCACCCTCGCCTGCTCCTCCCTGTCTTCCCTGTGTCGAGGGGCGGCAGCGCGCCGCTCCTCACTCCTCCTCCTTTCCCCCGACGACTGCTCCTTTGCAGACGCTCCACATGGACGTGTGGGGCCCAGCCCGCGTCCGTGGTCAGGGTCAGGAGAGGTACTTCCTGATTGTTGTTGACGACTTCTCGCGCTACACCACGGTCTTCCCCTTGCGCACCAAGGGTGACGTCCCTGATGTCTTGATCCCTTGGATCCGCAGATCTCGTCTCCAGCTCAGTGAGCGTTTCCGCTCCGACTTCCCTGTCCTGCGTCTGCACTCTGACAGAGGTGGGGAGTTTTCCTCTGGCCTCTTGGAGGCCTTCTGTCAGCAGGAGGGCATTGAGCAGTCGTTCACGCTTCCGGCCTCTCCACAGCAGAATGGGGTTGCTGAGCGCCGCATTGGCTTGGTCATGGAGGTCGCTCGTACCTCCTTGGTTCATGCGGCTGCCCCCCCACTTTCTGTGGCCGTTTGCAGTCCGATACGCTGCGCATCAGCTCAACCTCTGGCCCCGTGTCTCCTTATCGGAGACTTCTCCGACACTGCGTTGGACGGGAGAGGCTGGCGATGCGTCGCGTTTTCGGGTCTGGGGATCCCGAGCTTTTGTTCGCGACACGTCCGCGGACAAGCTCTCCCGTCGCGCTGTCCCCTGTGTCTTCCTTGGCTTTGTCCCGGACGCGCCTGGTTGGCAGTTCTACCACGCCACCTCGCGTCGTGTCCTGGCCTCTCAGGACGTCACTTTTGACGAGTCCGTCCCCTACTACCGCCTCTTCCCCTACCGCACTGCTCCGCTCCCCCCCCCGCCTCTCTTCCTCGCTCCAGGTGCTCGTACCAGACCCCCTCCCCCCTCAGGGTGCCGCTCCCTCAGGTGTGTCCCAGGTAGACCCGGGTGAGCCTGTCGAGGTAGCTGTTGACTCTCGTCCTGCTAGGGGTGCTGAGCCTGGGGGTGCTGCGTCTGGGGGTGCTGAGCCTGGGAGTGCTGAGTCTGGAGGTGCGGAGCCTGGGGGTGCTGAGTCTGGAGGTGCGGAGCCTGGGGGTGCTGAGTCTGAGGGTGCTGAGCCTGGAGGTGCTGAGCCTGGGGGTGCTGAGCCTGGGGGTACTGAGTCTGGGGGTGCTGAGCCTGAGCGTGCTACACCTGGAGGACGGAGCTGCAGGAGAGGTACCTACAGTACTGCCGCCTCCGGAGAGGTGCTAATGGAGCTCGTCGCAGTACTTCCCCTCCTGCCCAGGAGCTCCCCCCCATTCAGCAGATCCGAGAGTGGTACACGCGGCGCTGCAGTCTTCGGAGTGGTGCTCCTGGTGCTGCGGACCCTGGGGGTGGCGCTGCTACTGGTGCTGAGGACCCGAGCGGTGGCGCTGCTGCTGGTGCTGAGGACCCGGGCGTTGGAGCTGCTGCTGGTGCTGCGGACCCGAGCGGTGGCGCTGCTGCTGGAGCTGAGGACCCGGACGGTGGAGTTCCTGCTGGTGCTGCGGACCCGAGCGGTGGCGCTGCTGCTGGTGCTGCGGACCCGGACGGTGGAGCTGCTACTGGTGCTGAGGACCCGAGCGGTGACGCTGCTGCTGGTGCTGAGGACCTGGGCGTTGGAGCTGCTGCTGGAGCTGAGCACCCGGACGGTGGAGCTGCTACTGGTGCTGAGGACCCGAGCGGTGGAGCTGCTGCTGGTGCTGAGGACCCGGACGTTGGAGCTGCTGCTGGTGCTGAGGACCCTGCCGCTGGTGTCTCTGCTGGTTCTGGAGACGCTACGCGGCCGCGACCGTACTTCGTACCACTTCTTCAGCAGGTTCTTGGTCAGGCTCCTCCTCCTTGTCCTCCTCCCTCCGTAGAGTGTCCTCCGCCTGTCCAGTCGCAGTCACAGTTCCCGCCTGCCTCGCCTCTCCTTGCTCCCTCTCCTTACACTGGTCCCACGGGAGGTCTTACAGAGCGTCGTGAGCCTGAGTCTCGTCCTGCGTCGCCTGTTCGTACTGCTCGCACTGGTCGTCGTGTCCCACGTGAGCGTCCTCCTCCTGTCCCTGGCACTCACTACATGACTCTGCGTCCCTCCACTGCTCCTCAGCGTGTTCCGCTGCCGTCTCCTCCTGCGTCCTCTCTGCCTACTCTTCCTGACCCAGAGTCTGACTCCCGTCGTGCTGCCAGTCCCACTGTCACCCGTCTCCTCGCTACTGTTGTCACTGACCCTACCTTTGAGTCCTCTGCTGCGTCTGCTCTGGTCGCTGAGTTGATAGACTTTGCTGCCCGGTGTCGTCTAGACTACGCCACTAGCCTTGTTGCTGAGTCTGAGTCTGAGTCTGTCTGTCCTCCGTCCGTCGGGGGTGAGTGTGCTCTTGGCACGGACGTCCTTGAGGACAGACAGGAGGAGTTCCAGTGCTTTGCTGCTGCTTTACCCCACCTCGTGTCCATGCTAGTTGCCCCCGAGGGAGACCCGGATGCACCAGACATCCCGACCCCGCGCACTTACGCTGAGGCGATGGCGGGTCCCTACTCCTCTCAGTGGCAGACAGCCATGGACGCAGAGATGGCTTCCTGGAAGTCCACACGCACCTACGTCGACGAGGTTCCCCCACCTGGGGCGAACATCGTCAGTGGCATGTGGATTTTCAGGGTGAAGCGGCCACCGGGTTCTCCTCCTGTCTTCAAGGCGCGCTACGTGGCTCGAGGCTTCAGTCAGCGAGAGGGAGTTGACTTCTTCCAGACCTTCTCCCCCACCCCGAAGATGACCACTCTTCGGGTGCTGCTGCACATAGCCGCTCAGCGCGACTACGAGCTTCACTCACTTGACTTCAGCACTGCTTTCTTGCAGGGCAGTCTGCACGAGGAGATCTGGCTGCGCCGCCCTCCTGGCTTCACTGGGTCGGTTCCTCCTGGTACCCAGTGGAGGCTCCAGCGGCCGGTCTACGGTCTCCGCCAGGCTCCGCGTGAGTGGCACGACACACTGAGGACGACACTTGCGGCTCTTGGGTTTGCTCCCTCTACTGCTGACCCGTCACTGTTTCTACGCACAGACACCTCGCTGCCGCCGTTCTACATCCTCGTGTACGTCGACGACTTGGTCTTTGCCACTGCTGACACCGCGGCACTCGCCCACGTGAAGTCGGAGCTGCAGAGGAGACACACGTGCACAGACCTGGGTGAACTGACAAGCTATCTTGGCTTGCGGATCACCCGGGACAGAGCACGGCGCACCATCACCTTGACTCAGTCACACATGGTGCAGCAGATCCTTCAGCGCTTCCGCTTCACGTACTCCTCGCCTCAGTCCACTCCTCTGCCTACCGGTCACTCGCTCTCAGCTCTGCCTTCGGATGAGTCCGTAGAGCCGAGTGGCCCGTATCCAGAGCTTGTGGGCTGCCTCATGTACCTGATGACCTGCACTCGACCTGACCTTGCATACCCTCTTAGCATCCTTGCACGCTATGTCGCTCCTGGCCGTCACAGGAAGGAGCACATGGATGCCGCTAAGAGGGTGTTGCGCTACTTGTGCAGTACGTCGGGCATGGGGCTAGTGCTTGGAGGGCGAGACCGAGTTGTACTTACTGGACACTCAGACGCTTCTTGGGCGGACGACCAGGCTACTCAGCGGTCGTCTCAGGGTTACACCTTCAGCCTTGGCTCCGGCTCAGTTTCCTGGCGTTCTACACGCTCTTCCTCTGTTCTCAGCTCCAGTTGTGAGGCTGAGATCTACGCCACAGCCATGGCTGCCCAGGAGCTACGCTGGCTGACCTACCTGCTGACCGACTTGGGCGAGCGGCCTCGTTCTCCTCCAATGCTGTACGTCGACAACCAGGCTGCCATTGCCTTGTGTGAGGAGCACAGACTGGAGCACAGAACGAAGCACATCGCCCTGCGGTACTTCCTTGCTCGAGAGCTGCAGCAGCGTGGTCAGCTTTGTCTGCGTTACGTGGCCACTGAGGCCAACCTTGCTGATGTGTTCACCAAGGCGCTTCCGCCTTGTGACCATCAGCGTTTCTGTACTCTTCTAGGCCTTGTGCCTGCTGGTCCTCACTTGCTTACCTCTTGACTCTCCTTGTACTGTGATCTTTATATATATACCTGCATATTTACACTTGCTAGGTTGCTATCACTGTATCTCTTGTTATATTATCAACCTGTATGTGAACTGGTCTTGTGACCACTTGCTTGTGCTCGGAATTTGTGTGGTATCCTTGAGATCCACCCTGAGCTTGTTTTGCTTTGCTTTGACTGGTCTTTGTGACCCCTTGCTCTCCCCCACTTTGCCTATGGGGGTGTGTCAAACATTATACATGTTATATTTGTGTAGGCTATAGTGGGTTAGCCTGTAGGGGGGTCACAATTCTAGGGTTTCATATTTGTACCAAACTCACTGCTAGTTCATCCATTCCAGTCCGTTCATTGCCACGCCTTCGTGGCATGCACTCGCACCTTCTGGTCTCTGGTCTTCCCGGCCTTCCCTCCCACCCTCGCCTGCCCTGCCCTGCATTCCTTGCGTCGAGGGGCGGCAGTGCGCCGCTCCTCACTCCTCCTCGTTTCCCCCGACGACTGCTCCCCTGCAGACTCTCCACATGGACGTGTGGGGCCCAGCCCGCGTCCAGGGACAGGGCCGCGAGCGATAATTTATGCTGTTGTCGACGACTATACGCGTTACACCACAGTCTTCCCGTTGCGCCGCAAGGGTGAGGTTCCTGCTGTTTTGATCCGTCAGATCCACGCTGTCCGTCTCCAATTGCGCGCGCGGTTCCGCACGGACCTTCCTGTCCTGCGTTTGCACTCTGACAGGGGTGGTGAGTTCTCCTCTGGCCTCTTGGGTTCCTTTTGTGACAAGGAGGAAATTCACCAGTCGTTCACGCTTCCGGCCTCCCCGCAGCAAAATGGGATTGCTGAGCGCCACATTGGCTTAGTCATGGAGGTCGCTCGTACCTCCATGATCCATGCGGCTGCTCCCCATTTTCTGTGGCCGTTTGCGGTCCGGCACACCGTGCATGAGCTCAACCTCTGGCCCCGTGTCTCCTTGCCGGAGACCTTGCCTACTCTTTGTTGGTCGGAAGAGGTTGGCGATGCGTCTGCGTTTCGGGTCTGAGGTTCTTGTGCCTTTGTCCGCGATTCCACCGCGGGCAAGCTCTCCCCTCGCGCCATACCATGCGTCTTCCTTGGCTTTCCCACTGACGCGCCTGGTTGGCAGTTCTACCATCCCACCTCGTGCCGTATCTTCGCGTCCCAGGACGTCACCTTTGACGAGTCGGTTCCCTTCTACCGTCTCTTCCCCTACCGCACTGCCCCTCCCCCCACCCCCCCCCCCCCCCCGCCGCTCTTCCTCGCTCCAGGTCCCCCTCCGATAGACCCCCTCCCCCCTCAGGGTCCTGCTCCTTCAGGTGTCTCTCAGGTAGACTCACTTCCCTTAGCTAAGTCTGTCGAGGTCACTAAGGACTCAGGTGCTGCTGGGGGTGGTGCTGCTCGGGGTGCTGAGTCTGGGGGTGTTGAGCGTGGGGGTGCTGCTTCTGGGGGCGCTGAACCGGGGGGTACTGAGCCTTGGGGTGCTGAGCCTGGGGGTGCTGCTTCTGGGGGTGTTGAGCTTGGGGGTGCTAAGCCTGGGGTGTTGCTTCTGAGAGAGCTGAGTCTGGGGGTGCTGAGCCTGGTGGAGCTGGGTCCACTGTTGGTCTTCCTGGTGCCTCACTTCAGCGGTCTCCCCAGCGGGAGCCCCTCTCACAGCAGCAGCTGCGCGAGTGGCTAGCTCAGCGCACTCGCCTCCGGCGCAGCGCTACTAGAGCTGGCGACGCTGGAGCTGGAGACACTGGAGCTGGAGGCGCTGGAGCTGGGGACACCGGCACTGGAGGCGCTGGAGCTGGAGACACTGACACTGGTGGAGCTCGCACTGGAGGCGCTGACGCTGGAGTTCTGGAGCTGGAGGTTCTGGAGTTGGAGACACTGGCGCTAGAGGAGCTGGAGCTGGTGGCGCTGGAGCTGGAGGCGCTGCCACTGGTAGCACTGGAGCTGGAGGTGCTGGAGCTGGAGGCACTGGAGCTGGAGGCGCTGGAGCTGGAGGCACTGGAGCTGCAGGTGCTGGAGTTGGTGGCGCTAGAGCTGGAGGTGCTGGCGCTTGTGTTCCTGCGCCTCTACGGTTGTTCTTTATGTTAGAGATTAAGGACCGAGTCTATGAAGACTAGGTGCCCAAATTTCTCAAAATCGTAGGCTTAGATTTCTGGACAGAAACGTCGACTTCACAAGAAACGTTGTCGACGAAAGACGCACCGTTGTGGCTACAATTCCCAATTTGAATCGCACAAAACGATGGAGTAAATCTTGAGTTATCAATTTTGGCGCACTAGGGGGTATGCTGCCATAGAAAACTTAACTCAATCACAAGAGTCTCACAAGGATCCACAAGAAGCACACACAAGAGTTAGAGTAGCACTAAACCAGGTGGGAGGGAAGAGGAGGACGAGAGAGAAGGTCCCAAGGGAGTCCCCAACCAAGGAAACCCCATGCCACACAATTTCCCTCTCCATAGGCAACCCCACTTTCACTTTTGTCACTATCCCAACCCATGCCATCCACCTCAACCCACTTGGCCACACTTGCCAACCTGGTTTGGCTTCTCCCAACCACATGGCAGCAATCTACAGTGATGGGTTCGAATTTCCCAACCCCCAAAAGTCTATACCCCATATTGAGTCACTCCACAAATTCCCATAGTCGCCGCATCCCAATCAAAACTTCGAACGATCATAACTTTCTCGTTCTTGCTCCGATCGCGGCGATTCTTGGTTCGTCGGAAAGCTCTTGAGCAGAGGAGTCACTTCAGATATCTGCTCAAGCCAAATAACATTCACACACACTCAGGAAATCCAAACCACACCAAACACAAATTCTTGCACACGCTCACACCACGCATGCAACGCACGAACATATGATGGGAGGCAGACAGACGTGAATGCGAATGATAGCATCACACAACAAACTCCCCCTCTGGCTGCCAACCATCATCCCACATGCCATAGCTCAAGCATGCACCCTCAATGCACACTCATTCCAGCAAGCTTCATCCCCTTCCAGTGCTCAGGTTCCGCCAGGCGCTTGGTGAGAATGTCAGCCGCCTGCTGCTGGGTCTTCACAAGCTCCAGTCGCACCTCCTTATCCAGGAGCCTCCTTGTCCAATGCCACTTAGGCCTGATGTGCTTTGTCAGGCCATGAAGACAAGCATTCTTGGCCAGCTTCACTGTTGACTCGTTGTCACAGAAGATCACAGTCGGCTCCTTCTGACCAACACCAATCTCCTCCAACAAACGCCTCAGCCACACCACCTCCTTTGCCCCATGATGAAGGGCCATGTACTCGGTCTCACACGAGGACAGCCCCACCTCGTTCTGCTTCTTGCTCCGCCAGCTCACTGCACCACCTCCAAAGAGGCACACATAGCCTCCAATGCTGGTGCCATCCGCCTTCACAGAGTTGAAGCTGGCGTCAGTGTATCAAGTCAAGCGCATCTCCCCCTTACCCAGATCAGCAGCACCCCGCTGCTGCCTTTGCCTCACGGCACTGTACTCCAAGCCCACTGATGCCGTTGCACTCACATAGCGGACCAACCTCTTGGCCGCTTCCAGTTGCTCATGACTGGGACGTGACACCACACTCGCAAGCCTGGATGTAGCTAATGCAATGTCAGGGCGCATGTGGTTAGCCGCATAGTTGAGTGCCCCAACCATGGAGTGAAACAGCTTCCTGTCACTCTCCCCCACCACCTCCTCATCAGCACAAGGCTCCACAGTGAACCTCGAAGGCAATGGGGTGGCTGGCTTCCATTAATCTTGCAGCCCATACTTCTCAGCCAGCCCCTCACAGTACTTCCTCTGGTGCAACCTCAACACTCCCTTGTCGAGGTCCCTCTCCACATGCATCCCCAGGTAATACTTCACATCTCCCATCTTCGAGCACTTGAACTGCATCTCCAGCATCTCCACTCGTTCAATCATTGCAGACGACTCAGAGAAGAGCAGGATGTCGTCCGTGTACACAAGGAGCATCAGGAACCGCTCCTTCTCTTGCAGCAGGAACAGGCTGTGGTCACACTCGCTCTTCTTGAATCCCCCAGCCAGCAGTGTCTCCTCCAGCTTGTGGTACCATGCACGAGGAGCCTGCTTCAGGCCATAGATGGCCTTCTTCAGCCTGCACACCCTACCGCTCCCATCATCCAACCCCTCAGACTGCAACATGTACAGCTCCTCCAGAATGATCCCATTGAGGAAGGCAGTGATGATGTCCATCCGCTTGAGCTTCCATCCACGGTTTGCAGCCATTGCCAGCATGGTTCTCAGTGTAGTCCCTTTCCCCACAGGAGCAAAGATATCGTCAAAATCCTTCCCCTTTGTCTGCTGGAACCCCTTAGCCACAAGCCTTGACTTGTAGCGGGTCAGCTCCCCATCAGGCCCGTACTTGTGCCTGAAAATCAGCTTCGAAGAGATTGCCTTCTTCCCAGGAGGCAGCTCACACAGCTCCCACGTGTCGTTCTCCAGCAGAGAGTCATACTCCTCCTTCACACTCTGCTTCCACTTCTCAGCATTGGGCCCACTCAAGGCCTCGGTAAGCGTCTTGGGCTCAGGGACGGCTGCCCAGTTGCAGTGCGCTATCTCCTCCTCATCACACTGCTCAGCCACACTCCCAGCCCGCACCACCTTTGGCTTCCCAAAGCTCGGATAGGTCAGCCGGTTGGGAGGGCGCACATCCCTCCTTGGACGGTCAGCCGTACGTGCTGCACCTTGTGGAGCAGACACTCTGCTGCTGCTGCTGCTGCTGCTGCTGCTGCTGCTGCTGCTGCTGCTGCTGCTGCTGCTGCTGCTGCGGCTGCTGCTCCTGCTGCTGCTGCTGCTGCTGCTGCTGCTGCGGCTGCTGATGTTGCTCCTCCACGTCAGGTTCTTCTTTCCTCAGTCACTCCAGAGATCTCCTTCTCAGAGACAGAAACCTCCACCTGCCTCGAAGGCCGCTGCACCTCATCGGCCTCAATGATCAGCGGTGTAGCAGGAAGCTTCTGCTGCTGCTGCTTCCACTCCTTGTAGTACAAGGACTCGAGGAACTTCACATCCCTCGACACAGTCAGCTGCTGGCTGGTCAAGTCCCATATCAACCAGCCCTTGTGATCCTTGGCAAGCCCCAAGTGCACACCCCATCTCCCAGAAGCTTCCAGCTTTCCCCTCTTCTCCTTTGGCACATGAAACACCACCATGCACCCATAAGCTCTCAGCATGTTCACCGCTGGTGCACTCCCATACCACTTGGTGTAAGGGACCCACTGCTTGTCCCCCACTGTCGCCAGCACCCTGTTCTTCACAACGACGACCTGCCTCAGTGCAGTCACCCAAAACGGATCCGGCAGCCCTGCACGCCCAAGTAGAGTGCGGGCACCTTTCTGCAGGGTCCGGTTGAACCGCTCAGCCACGCCATTCTGCTGAGGGTTGTAGGGCACTGTAAGCTGATGCTGAATCCCCTTCTTCTTCAGCACCGCCTCAAAATCAGCGCCAATGAACTCTCCCCCGTTGTCAATGTGGATCAGCTTCACTTTGTGTCCGCTCTCCCTTTGAGCTCTCGGCATCCACTCCTTAAGAACAGCCGCTGCCACGTCCCCCTTGGTCTTGAGAGGGTACACCCACACCGCACGCGTGTGGTCGTCCACGATGGTCAAGAAGTAGCGGCTGCGCGAGAGTGAAGTGGCCCTCGTGGGGCCCACCACATCCATATGCACTAGCGAGATTGGTGCCTTGGCTGGTCCCGTGCTGCTGCTGAAAGGAAACTTTGTGAACTTTGTCTCAAGGCATGTAGGGCAGCTCCCAATCTCCTTCGCTGCCCCCTTCACCTCCAATCCCTTCAAGCTCCCATCCTTAGCCAACTTCTGCAGCATCGGTATGTTGATGTGGCACAATCTCTCGTGCCACGTCTCCCAATCGGCCTCACCACTCCCGGATGAAGCCTTTGCCCATGCAGCTGTTGCATCCACACCAGCAAGCACCTCACCATGTGGTCGCTGTGGCTGCTGCACCGTCTTGACAGCAGTTGGCGCAATCTCATCTCCTCCCGCAGTTGCCTTGGCAGCTGCCGCTGCCTTTGCCGTTGCTGGTGGTTTCCCGTTCCAAGGGATGATGGGCAGCTGCCACAGGTCCTTGATGCAGCTGCTCTTCTCCTCCAAATCCCACAGCAGCAACTTCCCAAGCTTCGCACGGCAGCTCGTTGGGCCGAACGTAACCTTTGCCTTGCTTTTCTGCAGCCGGCGCACAGAGAGGAGGTTAGCGGACAAACCTTCAACCAACAGCACATTCCCAAGCCCCACAAGCTTCCCACTGGCTCCCATCACCTTGGCATTCCCAACACCAATCACAGGGAGCAAAGCACCTGAAGCGGCAGCCACAAACTTGATCTTCCCAGGGGGTTTCACCTCATCAAGCAAATCTGACCGCGGAGTCATGTGACTCGTGTAACCTGAATCTATCACAACCTTCCCAACCGAACCCACATCATCCTCACTCACTTTCACATCCTCAACCATGAGGAACAACCCAGGGTCAGCTTTACCTTGTGCACCATCACCTTGTGCACCTGAACCTTGCACAGCGCCACCTCGTGCACGTTCACCACTTGGCGGCTTCATGCCTGGAGGCGCCCATCCTTCAGGCCGGCTGAAACACTTGAACCACAGGTGTCCAGCCTTCGTGCAGTATTAGCACGCACCCTCCATTCAGGTGCTCCCCCAACCACCAGAGCTTCCATGCCCCTCGTTGTAGTCACCTCGGCCTCTCCCTCTGCCAAAGCCTCTCCCACGGCCTCGGCCTCTCCCTCCCCCTCTTCCTCTGCTGCCTCCTGCAGCTCCATACCCCTCAGCAGTCTTGTTGGCAGCACCACCTCCCGTGTGGCACCTGCGGAAGTCCTCCTGCAGGATCTGCTGCCGTAGCCACTCAGGCGTCCACTTGTCCTGCTGAACGTTGAGGGTGGGGATGAGGTTCTCCCACGAGTTGTCGAGCACCGAGATGATCTTGGTGCACTGCTGCATCTCCGACACCTTGCTGCCCGCCGCTGCCATCCTCGCATAGGTGTCCTTGATCTTGTCAAGGACCGGCTTCACATCGTCTCCCGGTCGCATGGAGAGGGCAGCC